TGACCCACCAGATGGTGATCATAGACTACGCTATGGACAGAGGGATGTCCACCGATGAAGCGGTCATACTGTTGAGCTCCTTTGCCGTGGCCGACCTGTTCGGGCGACTGGCCTCCGGACTACTGGCGGACAGGCGTTTGGTGCGTAAGAGGAATATCATCTCCATTTGCATACTACTCATCGGTGTCCTAATCTTCATGACACCGGCCGCCACCACCTTCAGGGTACTACTGGTCGTGACTATAGCCCTGGGCTTTGTCAGCGGCGCCATTATCGTACTCTTCAGTATCCTAACCATGGAGTACGTTGGCCTCAATCGACTGCCCATAGCATTAGGCACGTCGGCGTTCATTGTGGGCACCAGTACTCTGGGTCGACCTCTGGTTGTCGGCTATTTTCGGGATAATTTTCACTCATACGACGGTCTCTTCCACTTTGTCGGTGTTTTAGCACTTCTGGCGGCACTCCTGTGGCTGTCGGAGCCGTTCGCCAGGTTATGGGTCACCAGACGTACCAAATACGGCTCCGGCTGTAAAATTAGTATCTTATAAAATTAAACCCTAGTACCCTTTTTGCAGCTTACCAAAGATTACCATGATATTTAGCTTTTTGGTACTAGTTTTATATTTCTTATTAGAGGCGCCATTCCCTAACTTTGAAAAAGTATTTTTTTTAAACAAAGTATTATTTCTGGAAATAATGGCAAAAATACAGCTAAAGAATTGCATAAAACACACGAAATCAATGATAATAATAATAATAAGTTATTATAAATAAGGAAGGTTCATTTTCTAAGATATCTCATGTATTAAATACAGTACTACGGTATATTACGAAAATGTAAATGAAATAAAAACATTTGAATAATAAAGCAATTACTTTATATTTTTACGATACCCTCTTATAAGATATACTGCATAATATTTACTAAGTGTTAAATGTTTGCTTAAAATTTGATATTATATTTAATCCTAGTATAGTATAATTTTACAAGTATCATTAAATAAATTTTACGCTAAGAATATTTCAACTCAAATTATCTAGAATATATATTTATGATAAAGTAGTATTTTTATTATATCATAGTAAGCAATTTATCATCACGCACATTATCATAATACTATTACCTAATGTTCACTTTAAACTATTTGAACTTTTTTCCCACAAATATTCATACACATAATAAAGTTTTGCCAAATCATCGATATCATTTGCAAAGGGAATATATAATCAAGTAGAGTTTCATTTAGCAAATGAGTTGCAATAAAACAAAAGTTAAAATGAGTGGAGACACTGGCGCTGGAGTCAGAAGTGGAGGCATTGAGGCGCCGGTTGGCTCTCAAAGACAAAGAGCTCATTGATTTGGAGAACAATCTGATCGAGTCTTTCGCGCAAAGACTCTACTCTTCCGACCAAAGTATGCGCGAAACGGATCTCATGTATGAGTCGCACGTCGAGGGCCGGCACCACATGTCCGTCGACTCCCGACAACTGGACTCCGAGGCCAACGATTTGAGACGTGAATTGGCGCTCAAAGACAACGAGTTATCCGATTTGGCGGCGATGTTGGCCTCGAATCGGGAACAGCTGTCGACTCAGAAGAGTTCATATGAGACAATGATCGCCGAACTCGAGAGCAAATTGATGGCAAATACGGAACAACTCGAGAACCAGAAGATTACTCTCGAGAGAGCCATCTCTGAAATGGAGAACCGATTGGTCTCAGAGGCGACTGATTTGCGTCAACAGTTGGCTCTCAAAGACAATGAGTTATCGGATTTGGTGGCGATGTTGGCCTCGAATCGGGAACAGCTGTCGACTCAGAAGAGTTCATATGAGACAGCGATCGCCGAACTCGAGAACCAATTGGTGGTGAATACGGAACAACTCATCGACGAGAGGGTGACTCACGAGAGAGTGGTCTCAGTGGCGACTGATTTGAGGGAACAGTTGGCCGCCAAAGACGGCGAGTTGTCCTCAAATCTGGAACAGCTGTCGACTCTTAAGACTTCTTATGAGACAATGATCGCCGAACTCGAGAACCAGAAGATATGTCACGAGAGAGCCATCTCTAAGATGGAGAACCGATTGGTCTCAGAGGCGACTGATTTGAAGGAACAGTTGACCGCCAAAGACGGCGAGTTGTCCTCAAATCAAGAACAGCTGTCGACTCTTAAGACTTCTTATGAGACAATGATCGCCGAACTCGAGAACCAATTGATGGTAAATACGGAACAACTCATTGACGAGAGGGTGACTCACGAGAGAGTGGTCTCTGAGATGGAGAGCCGGTTGGTCTCAGAGACGACTGATTTGAGGGAACAGTTGGCCGCCAAAGACGGCGAGTTGTCCTCAAATCTGGAACAGCTGTCGACTCTTAAGACTTCTTATGAGACAATGATCGCCGAACTCGAGAGCAAATTGATGGCAAATACGGAACAACTCGAGAACCAGAAGATTACTCTCGAGAGAGCCATCTCTGAAATGGAGAACCGATTGGTCTCAGAGGCGACTGATTTGCGTCAACAGTTGGCTCTCAAAGACAATGAGTTATCGGATTTGGTGGCGAATTTGGCCTCAAATCAGGAACAGATGTCGACTCTTAAGACTTCTTTTGAGACAATGATTGCCGAACTCGAGAACAAATTGATGGCAAATACGGAACAACTCATCGACGAGAGGGTGACTCACGAGAGAGTGGTCTCTGAGATGGAGAGCCGGTTGGCCGTCAAAGACAAGGAGACGATCGATGAGCGCAACCATTATAGGGAACAACTCGAAGCCCTGAAGGCCTCTGAATTGGTGTCCAAAGCGGAGACACTGGCGCTGGAGTTAGAAGTGGAGGAATTGAAGAACCAATTGGCTCTCAAAGACAAGGAGACGACCGAAGAGCGCAACCATTACACGGAACAACTCGAAGACCTTAAGACCTCTGAAGCGGTGTCCAAAGCAGAGACACTGGCGCTGGAGTCAGAAGTGGAGGAATTGAAGAACCGATTGGCCGTCAAAGACAAGGAGACGATCGATGAGCGCAACCAATACAGGGAACAACTCGAAGACCTGAAGGCCTCCGAATCGGTGTCCAAAGCGGAGACACTGGCGCTCGAGTCAGAAGTGGAGGCATTGAAGAGCCAATTGGCGCTCAAAGACAGGGAGACGACCGAAGAGCGCAACCATTACACGGAACAACTCGAAGACCTTAAGACCTCTGAAGCGGTGTCCAAAGCAGAGACACTGGCGCTGGAGTCAGAAGTGGGGGCATTGAAGAGCCAATTGGCTCTCAAAGACAAGGAGACGACTGATGAGCGCAACCATCACAGGAAACAACTCGAAGACATGAAGGCCTCGGAAACGGTGTCCAAAGCGGAGACACTGGCGCTCGAGTCAGAAGTGGAGGCATTGAAGAACCGATTGTCCCTCAAAGACAAAGAGACGATTGATGTGCGCAACCATTACAGGGAACAACTCGAAGACCAAAAGTTTAACTTCGAGGAGAAGATCGTCGAATTGGAGACTAAACTCGAGTGCAAAGAGTTGGAGACAGAGATCGAGACATTGAAGCAGACGTTAGCCGCGAAAGAGACTGAACTGAAAGCCGTTTCGGAACCTCTGGAAGCGCTGGAGTCGGAGCTGAACGCCACGAAACAGCGCTACGACGGACTCGTGTCGAAGTTGTCGTCGTTGGAGACCATAAACTTGGATCTCAAGACGGAACTGGAGTTTCTCACGCAACAGGCGACCAAATCGCGCGATTTGGAGAAAAAGATACAGGAGTTCGAGGAGCAGAAGCGCCTGAAGGGCCGCAACTTCGAGCTGATCCTCAACCAGGCGAAGGTCTGGGAGAAGAAGTTGTTGACCGTCGAGGCGGACAAAGAGTCGCTGGAGAGCCGACTCCAAGACATTCAGACGGAGAACCAGAAGCTGAACGACGAGCTGACGGTATATCTCGATCGGTGTCGTGAGACCCGATCGGAGCTGAAGAGCGAGAAAATGAAAAGCGATTCAATGTTGAGTCAGTGGCGGTATTATAGGGTTCAGCATAAGAAGATCCGCAGAGACATGAAGCGGATCTGCGGCGACATCGATGGCATTCTTCAGGAGTCGACCGACGCGTGCGATTTGAAACAGTTTATGGTATCGCTTAAGAAAAAGTATGTGTTTTTGGCGTTTCGTTTTGAATTGCGATTTGTTTTACGAAATGTTTGTCTCGTTTTTCAGATTCAGTGGCGAAGAGAGCGATGACGAGGAGGAGGAGAACGAAGAGATTTGCGACAAAACGAAAGCCAATGCCAGGAGTGATAGGAAACAGCCGTTGGGCTCATCTAATCACCAATAGTTTGGACACAAATCTGTGTATTTTTTGTTGACCAGTAATTCGCGACATTATTGTCTATTATTAGGAAATCAT